GGCAGAACTAAGTATTCTCTAAACTGCCCTGACAGGTATTTGTCTAACCTACTCTTAAAAATCTCCAATGATGGAGATTCCACAACGTCCCTAAGCAATTTATTCCAGTGCTTAACCATCCTGACAGGAAGTTTTTTCCTAATGACCAACCTAAACCGCCCTTGCTGTAATTTAAGACCATTGCTTCTTATCCTATCCTCAGAGGTTAAGGCGAACAATTTTTCTCCCTCCTCCTTATAACAAACTTTTTATGTACTTAAAAACTGTGATCATGTCTCCCCTCAGTCTTCTCTTCTCCAGATTAAACAACCCAGTTTATTCAGTCTTCCCTCATAGATCATGTTTTCTAGGTCTTTAATAATTTTTGTTGCTTTTCTCTGGGCTTTCTCCAATTTGTCCACCTCTTTCCTGAAATGTGGCACCCAGAACTGGACACACTACTCCAGTTGAGGCCTAATTAGTGTGGAGTAGAGCGGAAGAATTACTTCTCGCGTCTTGCTTATAACAATCCTGCTAATACATCCTAGAATGAGTTTTGCCTTTTTTGCAACAGTGTTACACTGTTGACTCATATTTAGATTGTGATCCACTATGACCCCCAGATCCCTTTTTGTCGTACTCTTGCTTAGGTAGTCATTTCCCATTTTGTATGTGCGCAACTGATTGTTCCTTCCTAAGTGGAGTACTTCGTATTTGTCCTTATTGAATTTCATCCTGTTTACTTCAGACCATTTCTCCAGTTTGTCTAGATGATTTTGAATTTTAATCCTATCCTCCAAAGCACTTGCAACCTCTCCCAGCTCGGTATTGTCTGAAAACTTTATTAGTATACTCTCTACGCCATTATCTAACTCATTGATAGAGATATTGAACAGAAACGGACCCAGATCTGGTCCCTGTGGGATCCCACTTGATAAGCCCTTACAGCTTAACACTGTACCACTGATGACTACTTTCTGGGAATGGTTTTCCAGCCGCTTATGCACCCACCATATAGTAGCTCCATCTAGGTTGTATTTTCCTAGTTTGTATGAGAGCGTCATGCGAGACAGTATCAAAAGCCTTACTAAAGTTAAGCTATACCACATCTACTGTTCCCTCTCTTTCCCCTCCCCCCTCTACAAGGCTTGTTACCCTGTCAAAGAAAGCTATTAGGTTTGTTTGACGCAATTTGTTCATTACAAATCCATGCTGTTACTTATTATCTTCTAGATGTTTGCAAATTGATTGCTTATTTATTTGCTCCATTATCTTTCCAGGTACTGAAGTTAAGCTGACTGGTCTGTAATTCCCCGGGTTGCCTTTATTTCCCTTTTTATAGGTTGGCACTATATTTGCCCTTTTCCAGTTCTCTGGAATCTCTCCGGTCTTCCGTGACTTTTCAAATAGCTAATGTCTTAGATATCTCCTCAGTCAGCTCCTTGAGTATTCTTGAATGTATTTGATCAGGCCCTGGTGACTTGAAGACCTCTAACTTGTCTCAGTAATTTTAACTTGTTTTTTTCCTGTTTCTGATCCTCCCTCATTTTCACTGGCATTCACTGTGTTAGATGTCCAGTTTTTGGTGAAAAATGAAACAAGTAATTTGGCACATGCAAGACTGCGCTTCCATCCTCTTCAGGGAAGGTTGAGATCAGTTTATCATCCAACCAGATGCAGCATGGATTTACTGATAGAAGTTCCTCCACGGGTGCTAAAGTCTTCATGTTGGTGGATGGTCCCCTTTTAGTCTTGAGTCATGTGCGTGTTTTATTTCCCCTTGAAAGACTTTAATAGATTCTTAAAATGGATTTTAGATTTTATTGACATCTCATGCACTGAACAAACTACCCCTTACTTGTTGAGTTAGGGCACACTACTGGGGGAGTGGAGTCCCTATTTCTGATTTGTAGGACTGCTACTCATACTCATACTCACTTACCAGTCACTACTCCATTGTGTCAGCTTCTAGATCAGATGCCCAATTTGGCAGGGAGGTCCTAGTTATTTAGATAGGATCCCTTCACTTACCTCCTTGGTGTAACTGCTAGTCCGCCACCTGCAGTGGGATTTGTGTGAACAAACGCTCAAAAAAGAGAGGCTGTTTACCTTACAGTAACTGGAGTTTTTCAAGATGGTTTTTGTCCACACAGATCACACAACTTGCCTTCCTTCCCCACTGATTTGGAGTCCTTTACCTATATGTCTGTGTTAGTGAAGGAACTGAGTGGTGGTTTCATAGAGTTTAAGGCCAGAAGGGACCTTGGATCATCTGTGTATTTCACAGGTCACTTAAATTTCATCCAGTATCCCTATATTGAGGCCAATAACTTGAGCTGACTAGAACATTTTAATCCTTGGGAGTCTAAGCTATTGTGTGCCACAAGCAGAGAAACAAGAGATGGCAAGGTGCCACCAGTGCCTGAGGCCCCTACAGGGGCAGGGAATTGATTAAGTGAGATATGCCCAGATGATCCTAGCAGGCAATCCATGCCCAAAACTTCAGAGGAAGGAAAAAAATCCAGAGTCCCTGGCACTCTGATGTGGGGGAAAATTCGTTTCCTGATGCCAAATCTGGCAATCAGTATGACCCAGACCATGTGAGCATGACACACCAGCCAGGTATCTAAGACAGAAGATTCTCTGTAACATGTCAGAGCACTGGTCCACTCCATCCAGTGTTCCCTCCATCTGTGACCAATCTCTGATGCTTCAGAGGAAGGTGTGTGTGTGGTGGGGGAGGGACAACAAAATACACACGGCCAATGTATGTGACCAGCTGAACCCCTGAAGCATGAGATTGGATCATAGTCTTTGAATAATGAACAGCTGCAAGTGTCTTGAGTATGCTGAAGGCAGTGCAGTTTCCTGTACTCTCTATGGCCCATGAAGGAAGGGGACGAACAGAAGGGGATTCATAGATTTAGACTCCAAAGCCAGAAGGGATCACTGTGCCCATCCAGCCATCCCCGCCCGTCCCATACACACAGGCTGTAAAATTTCTCCCAGAAGCTGGATTAAAGTATATCCTTGAGAGAGAGCCTTCTTTTAAAGACTCCAAGCAATGGTGAGTCCACCACCTCTTCAGTAAGCTGTTCCAGTGTTTGTTTATCCTCATAGTTAGGAAATCATTTCAAGGTTGAATTTGTCCAACTTCACCTTCCAGCCATTGGTTCTTACTATGCCTCTGTCAGCCAGGTTGAAAAGCCCCCCATTATTGATATCTTTTCCATGTGTAAGTTCTTATACAAAGTAATCATGTCACCTCTGCTCCATCTCTTCAATGAGTTAAATACATTGGGCTTCCAGCCCATGAATCATTTTTGTGGCCCTCTTTTGAACTCTCTCCACTATTTTCACATCTTTCTCGAAGCATGGACACCAGAACCAGACTCAGTATTTTAGCAGTGGTCTTACCAGTGCTCTGTAGATACGAAATATCACTTCCCTACTTCTATTCGATAATCCCTTTTTATACTTCCAAGGATTGCATTAGTTCTTTTTGCCACAGCAGTGCACTGAGAGATCCTGTTGAGGTACTATCTATGATGACCCCTCCTAAGTCCTTCTGAATGACTGCTTTCCAAGACAGAGTTTCCCTAACTGTTGGTATAACCTGTGTTCTTGGGTCTCAGGTATACTCTCTTGCATTTGGCTGTATTAAAATGCATTTTGTTGGATTGTGGCTGTTTAATTAGATGATTCAGCTCACTCTAGCAGTAACTTATCCTTCTTGTTATTTATTACCTCCTCAGTCTTGTGCAAACTTTATCAGCATATATCTTATCCTCACCTAGATTGTGCATTGGATCAAGCACCAATCCCTTCGTGGGACCTGATCGTTGAAATCTCCCCATTAACAACTACATTTTAAGATTTTTCAGTGAGGCAGTTTTCAATCTAATTGTGCATCCCATTAATTCCATATAATGCAAGGGGTTTTTTTAATCAAATGGTTGGGGTACTCTGCCCTTTATGCCCTTGGGAGAATGTGTAGTGAGCACATGAAGGGTACATACAAAGCACCAATGGATACTGCCGCCTAAAAGATTCTAGGCTTGCGTGCATGGGGCACCTTCATCTACAGTGGGATCTGTGTGGTCATAAGCATCAGCGTCTCAAAGAACTCTAGTTACTGTAAGGTAAGTAACCTCTTTTTCTCCCTTCAAAAGGTTTTTATTAAAGCTTTTTTTATAGTATTATCTATAGCATGGGTCAGCAACCTTTCAAAAGTGGTGTGCCGAGTCTTCATTTATTCACTCTAATTTAAGGTTTTGCGTGCCAGTAATACATTTTAACGTTTTTAGAAGGTCTCTTTCTCTAAGTCTATTCTATATAACTAAACTATTGTATGTAACGTAAATAAGGTTTTAAAATTGTTTAAGAAGCTTCATTTAAAATTAAATTAAAATGCAGAGCCCCCTGGACCGGTGGCCAGGACCTGGGCAGTGTGAGTGCCACTGAAAATCAGCTCACGTGCCGCCTTCAGCACACATGCCATAGGTTGCCTACCCCGATATATAGTATACTTAGAAAATGGCAGCAACTGAATGCTACTGATATGTAACAATATATAAAAATAAATAGGCTGGGGTTTCAAGGGAATTGGGCACTGAACTCAGACTTCCAGTGGAATTTGGATGCCTGACACCCTTAGACTCCTTTGAAAATCCCAACCATAATCAATTCCTCTAACACAGTATGTTGGAAGGCATATTGCTATGAAATCCCAATAAAGAGTGAACAAACAATGGAAAAAACCTCTTTCATGAGTAGTAATTTAACTGCTATAGAGTTTTAAGGTCACTGTTGTCTGGAAACTATGCTGTTAAATGTCTAGTTACTAATGTAAATAGTAATCTCTTTAAAACACGACCCTGGTCAGAGAAAAGGACAAGTATTTACTTTAGGTGAAATCCTGATTCCATTAAAATGAGTGGAAAGACTTCCCTTCAGAGGGACCATGATTTCACCTTCTGATGGGAAATACTTTACTATAACCTCTCTCCTTTTTAATGTAGATGGAGTTTGATTTTGAACAAGGAATTTGCATTAGAAATTCACAAGCACTAAAAAGGTAAACTTGCATTCTTAACACCTGCTTTATTTTTCATACAATTTGGAGCCAGAGGGGGAAAATTTTTTTTAAAAAAAAAAAAAAAAGTCTGTCCATCCTACTTTCCCTTACGGTAATTATTCCCAAAGTGCTTAATCGAATTTGGTTTCTTAATGCACAAATACATTCAGAATTTTTGTGTAACTAGATAGCTACATACAGTCCAGTGCAATCAGCACACAGCTACCTTGCTTGATCCAAAACAGAAAAACAGTAGGTCTTCAGCTTCTTGCTTATTAATAAATACAAGGTTGTAATGGGTAGGAGAACTCACTGTGAAGTGCAGTGACCTGTCCAGGCTATGCTAACTGTGAGGAAAGGCAGAGGCTAACCAAGACAAAAGGGATAATTTATAATTTTGTAGAACTTTATAAGGGAAAACCCAGAAATTGTACCAGGAGCATAAAGAACATTACGAAGTATTACTACTTATAACAAACTCTAGGTTACCAACATGTTAACCTTTGCGAGCTTGTATTTGTACTCTTCCTTACTCTGTGGAGTTAATACCAAAAGCATTGTTATCAACAAGAACAAGAGATTACTCAACAACTTTTTCTTTCTTTGTCTGTAAGTACAACTCCACTCTTGCCCAGTTCTTTACATCTCTTCAGCTTGATGTGCTCTTTAGATTCGATGGCTCCTGTGGTTGTACCTCTTTTGACCAAGTTTATCTTCACTTGGTGGGCCCTCATTTGTCCATTAGGCACTTTTTGAACTGGTATTCCTTCAATAGATGTTCAGTCATTGTCTCTGTTCCTATACTTTTGATCCTTTGTGAGTGGGCTTTTCATTTACTGTTTTCAGGATCTATTTTAATCTAAAACAGCTTTTTGATCAATTCCCTTTTTCACCAATTATATTACCTTTCAGTTTTTTACCTTGATGCTCTCTCTCCGATATGTCTGTACATTTTATTTTCCTCTACTTCACTTTTCTAATAGTGTCTGCTCATATACCCAGGTCTATTTTTTTTTTCTGCTTCTCCCAACTTGGAGGATTTCCTTCTTTCCTCCTTCTCATTTCCCAGTCCCCTACTTTTATTCTCCTATACTTTTATTTTATCACCTCACCTTCTCCCTCAGCTCCTGTTCATCCATTAGCTCAGCATCTAGATTCTTCTCCTTGGCTCCTTCTTGTCTAACAGCTTTTTCCAACTGCCTTCTTTGGTTGGATTCCAGGCACCCTTCCAAGCTCGAGCTGCCCTCTCATTGGTTGTCTCTCTCCCCAGGACAGCATTCTGTGCTGCTGCATCAGGGTAAGGGTCGGGTTACTATAGGAGCACTCCCTTGAGTTAGGACACGGCATTGCTTATTGCAGGGGTCTTCCATTATGGTGCCCCCTGTTGTCTGTTCTGGTTCTCCAGTAGTCTGTCTTTGGTGGCCCAGACCTCTGGCCACACTTCAGGATTGGTCCCTGTTCTGGGTAACAAAAAAGTCCAAACAAAAAGACCCAAGAGTCTAATTGCCTTTATGCCAGTCTTTAGCCCCATCTGATACTTATCAGTCTTTTAATCCAGAGGCCTGTGATTTTTTCCGTCTTGCTGGACAGTGATATAGCGGGAACCTAGGCCAGCCCTCCCTTCTTGGTTCCAGCCCATAGACTCTGTGTGAGGCGGTTAAGGACTGTTCCTTACAATCCCTTGCCATGTTCCTGGGCTACTTTTTTCTTTTCTTTTCTTTTTTCTTTCTCCTGTTTCTCAGTATGTCTTATGCAGACTCTACTAGTCCAATCCTGGAGTTCTGTTGCCTCATGCGGCTTCATTTCAGCCCACTTACTGAAGAACTTCCTCAAGGCCCTCTTCAGGTTCTCTGGCAGCCTGCTGACTCCAGCGCCCTCCTCTGCTTTGAGTCCGGCCTATCTTTATGGAGCCTCTTCTTCCTCAGCTGAAGTTGATACAAAATTGGTTCTGAGCTGTTCCACCCCCCCCCCACCTCCACCCCTAGCTATAACCCAGTGGGCTAATCAGACCCTGAGACTCCTGTTAATGCTTTATTTGCCATTTATTTCCCATCCATAATCTTACCACATTGTCTATATCATAAAAAATATGATGTGTGACACTGCAGGACTGATGTTATCTCCCTGTGTGCTCCAGAATACGCTGTATTTTTAGTAATAGGGTTATTAGGAATAGCCAGCATGGATTTGTCAGGGATAAATCATGCCATACCAATCTAATCTCCTTCTTTGACAGGGTTACTAGCCTAGTAGATGGCAGGGAGTAGTAGATATGATATATCTTGATTTCAGTAAGACTTTTGACACAGTTCCATATGACAGTCTCATAAGCAAACTAGGGAAATGTGGTCTAGATGGAATTACTATGAGGAGTGCCCAACTGGTTGAAAGATTATACTCAAAGGAACGCTGTCAAACTGGGATGGTATATTTAGTTGGGTCTCGTGGGGGTCAATCCTGGAATATTAGTCAATATTTTCATGAATGACTTGGATAAAGGAGTGGACTCCGCTTATAAAATTTGCGGATAACATCAAGTTGTGAGGGGTTCCTAGCACTTTGGAGGAAGGACAGGATTAAAATTCAAAACTGTCTTGATAAATTGGAGAATTAGTCTGAAATCAACAAGATAAAATTCAGTTAAAAACAAGTGCAAAGTTCTTCACTTAGGAAAGAAAAATCAAGTATTCCACATTTTGTAGTTGTGTAACAGGCTAGGGGAACTAGTGCTGAAAGGAATTTTGGGGGGTTATAGTGAATCAAAAAATTGAATGAGTTAACAATATGTAAAAAAGACTAATACAATTCTCGAGTTTATTAATAGGAGTGACGTATGTAAGACATGGGAGGTAATTGTCTCACTCTTGGCACTGGTGAGGCCTCAGCTGGAGTACTGTGCCCAATTCTGGGCACCACACTTTAAAGAAGATGTGGACAAACTGGGGAGAGTCCAGAGGAAAGCAACCAAAATGGAGGTTTAGAAAACTTTACCTACAAAGAAAGGCGT